GACCTGTACCCCTGGTGTTGTCTATATTGAAGGTGGGTGACCTGTACCCCTGGTGTTGTCTATACTGAAGTTGGGGACCTGTACCCCTGGTGTTGTCTATACTGAAGGTGGGTGACCTGTACCCCTGGTGTTGTCTATACTGAAGGTGGGTGACCTGTACCCCTGGTGTTGTCTATACTGAAGGTGGGTGACCAGTACCTGGTAACATATCTGCCATGTTTATATGTAATTCAATTTCCAAACATCCCTATACGACAAGTTATCCAGTTAATGCGGACTTTTCTTCTTTACAGTTGAAAGGTACTGAAGGAGGACCATGGTTATATGTACATACCGGCTGAGTGTCTTGGGTCTGAATGCCTGTCTTAGGGTTTGTCTTAAGCATTACACTATTATTAGCATTGTCAAATACGTGTTAAATGGACAATTTGATAGCGAACACTGCAGTTTGAGGTATGGAGACATCGTTTACACTCTACTGGATCAGTTATGGAACGCTGCTGCTACTACTTGGCTAATGCTGACCGACCGAGGCGTCAGTGGACCGTGTTGACGGACCTGTGTGAGTCAGTAGGACAAGGTCAGCTTTGGGGCGGTGTGGATGATACACGTTTCTTCTTGATTTTGGTTTATACAGTAGCAGATCCGCGGGAAGAGTCACCGACGGTGGTGGCTACTTGTTCTCTGGTGCGGTGGACTCGTGTGTTTGTAACATACAGTGTACCTGTTGGTACCTAAGGTTCTCCACCTGAGGGGGTCATACACTATTGTTCGGAGGCAGGTTTGGGATTGGATGAGTCCACACAGTCTCTTCTGTTAGCTGCACCAGGCAATGGTATTGACCTTTGTGTGACATTAACCTAGAGAGACACTGACTTCTGTGTGACCTCGATCTTGAGGCATCTCTATACCTCTTTCTCTAGCTTTAACTTTATCTCTGTCTCCCTCTCTCTCCCCATCCCCCCCCCCCCAATTCCCTATGCACAGGTGTGGGTGTACCTGGGGAAGACCATACCTGAGAGTGGCAGTGTTGTGGAGGGCGTGGGCGAGCCAGACGGCTGGGTGGAGGCCGGTCCTGGGATTACTGACCATACCTGCAACCATGTAGGGGGCATAGCCAGCAGGGGTGTGGGGCATAGCCAGCAGGGGTGGGGCATAGGCAGCAGGGATAGGGCATAGCCAGCAGGGGTGTGGGGCATAGCCAGCAGGGGTGGGGCATAGGCAGCAGGGGTGGGGCATAGGCAGCAGGGGTGGGGCATAGGCAGCAGGGATGGGGCATAGTCAGCAGGGGTTGGGCATAGGCAGCAGGGGTGGGGCATAGGCAGCAGGGGTGGGGCATAGGCGGCAGGGGTGGGGCATAGGCAGCAGGGGTGGAGCATAGGCAGCAGGGGTGGGGCATAGGCAGCAGGGGTGGGGCATAGCCAGCAGGGATGGGGCATAGGCAGCAGGGGTGGGGCATAGGCAGCAGGGGTGGGGCATAGCCAGCAGGGATGGGGCATAGGCAGCAGGGGTGGGGCATAGGCAGCAGGGGTGGGGCATAGGCAGCAGGGATGGAGCATAGCCAGCAGGGTTGGGGCATAGGCAGCAGGGGTGGGGCATAGGCAGCAGAGGTGGGGCATAGGCAGCAGGGGTGGGGCATAGCCAGCAGGGGTGGGGCATAGGCAGCAGGGGTGGGGCATAGCCAGCAGGGGTGGGGCATAGGCAGCAGGGGTGGGTATAGCCAGCAGGGGTGGGGCATAGCCAGCAGGGATGTGGCATAGCCAGCAGGGGTGGGGCATAGGCAGCAGGGGTGGGGCATAGGCAGCAGGGGTGGAGCATAGCCAGCAGGGTTGGGGCATAGGCAGCAGGGGTGGGGCATAGGCAGCAGGGGTGGGGCATAGCCAGCAGGGGTGGGGCATAGGCAGCAGGGGTGGGGCATAGGCAGCAGGGGTGGGGCATAGGCAGCAGGGGTGGGGCATAGGCAGCAGGGGTGGGGCATAGGCAGCAGGGGTGGGGCATAGGCTGCAGGGGTGGGGCATAGCCAGCAGGGTTGGGGCATAGGCAGCAGGGGTGGGGCATAGGCAGCAGGGGTGGGGCATAGCCAGCAGGGATGGGGCATAGGCAGCAGGGGTGGGGCATAGGCAGCAGGGGTGGGGCATAGGCAGCAGGGATGGAGCATAGCCAGCAGGGTTGGGGCATAGGCAGCAGGGGTGGGGCATAGGCAGCAGAGGTGGGGCATAGGCAGCAGGGGTGGGGCATAGCCAGCAGGGGTGGGGCATAGGCAGCAGGGGTGGGGCATAGCCAGCAGGGGTGGGGCATAGGCAGCAGGGGTGGGGCATAGCCAGCAGGGGTGGGGCATAGGCAGCAGGGGTGGGGCATAGGCAGCAGGGGTGGGGCATAGGCAGCAGGGATGGGGCATAGGCAGCAGGGATGGGGCATAGGCAGCAGGGGTGGGTATAGCCAGCAGGGGTGGGGCATAGCCAGCAGGGATGTGGCATAGCCAGCAGGGGTGGGGCATAGGCAGCAGGGGTGGGGCATAGGCAGCAGGGATGGAGCATAGCCAGCAGGGTTGGGGCATAGGCAGCAGGGGTGGGGCATAGGCAGCAGGGGTGGGGCATAGCCAGCAGGGGTGGGGCATAGGCAGCAGGGGTGGGGCATAGGCAGCAGGGGTGGGTATAGCCAGCAAGGGTGGGGCATAGCCAGCAGGGATGGGGCATAGGCAGCAGAGGTGGGGCATAGGCAGCAGGGGTGGGGCATAGCCAGCAGGGGTGGGCATAGGCAGCAGGGATGGGGCATAGGCAGCAGGGGTGGGGCATAGGCAGCAGGGGTGGGGCATAGGCAGCAGGGGTGGGGCATAGGCAGCAGGGATGGGGCATAGGCAGCAGGGATGGGGCATAGCCAGCAGGGGTGGGGCATAGGCAGCAGGGGTGGGGCATAGCCAGCAGGGGTGGGGCATAGGCAGCAGGGGTGGGGCATAGGCAGCAGGGATGGAGCATAGCCAGCAGGGTTGGGGCATAGTCAGCAGGGGTGGGGCATAGGCAGCAGGGGTGGGGCATAGGCAGCAGGGGTGGGGCATAGCCAGCAGGGGTGGGGCATAGGCAGCAGGGGTGGGGCATAGCCAGCAGGGGTGGGGCATAGGCAGCAGGGATGGGGCATAGGCAGCAGGGGTGGGGCATAGCCAGCAGGGATGGGGCATAGGCAGCAGGGGTGGGGCATAGGCAGCAGGGATGGAGCATAGCCAGCAGGGGTGGGACATAGGCAGCAGGGGTGGGGCATAGGCAGCAGAGGTGGGGCATAGGCAGCAGGGGTGGGGCATAGCCAGCAGGGGTGGGGCATAGCCAGCAGGGGTGGGGCATAGGCAGCAGGGATGGGGCATAGGCAGCAGGGGTGGGGCATAGGCAGCAGGGGTGGGGCATAGGCAGCAGGGGTGGGGCATAGGCAGCAGGGGTGGGGCATAGGCAGCAGGGGTGGGGCATAGGCAGCAGAGGTGGGGCATAGGCAGCAGGGGTGGGGCATAGCCAGCAGGGGTGGGGCATAGCCAGCAGGGGTGGGGTATAGAGAACAGGGATAGAGCACATAAGACAAAATGAAGCAGGTATTATATGAGGCATAAGCCAGGAGGGTGCATCAAGCAAAGAACCAGAGGGCATGTGAACCTTCACTTAAAGTATATATGGGAAAGAGGGAAAGGAACAAATGAGACAAATTAGGATAGAACATAGTGACAGGAGAGCATAGGGTGGATATGCAACAGAAAGGAGAGGGCTAATGGAACAGAAAGGAAGGGGCTTATGGAACATGTGGAAAAGGGAACAATCGGGCCTTATGGAACGGATGAGTTGAAAGAAAATGAAGAGCATACATAACTGGGACAACGGAATGGGAGTATATGAGACAGTGTATGGACCACAGGGGACACCACTGGAAGGGGAAAGGTGGAGGAAGAGGATAATACTGGGACAGGTTACGGAACAGGATAACACTGGAACGTGCCAATTAAGACACGGAGAGGCCAAAGGGATGGGAAGGTCAAGGGCAAGGAAAGGAATGTGGAAAATGAAAGGATGTATAGTCACTGGTCTTGGAAGACAGGATAGATGGAAGGTAAGAAAGAGGGAGAGAAGGAGAGGGAGGGAGGGAGGGAGGGAAGGAGAGGGTGGGAGAGAGGGAGAGAAGGAGAGGGAGGGAGGGAGGGAGTAGGGAACTATCAGGAGAAAGCGCCAAGCCAACAGGACTATAATAATATAGGGAACTCTTATTGTAGTCTTGAAGGAGAGATAAGATCTCTCCTCCTCCTCTGCTAGGGAGAGAAGGAGAGAGGGAGGGAAGGAGTAGGAGGGAGAGAGGGAAGGAGTAGGGAGAGAGGGAGGGAAGGAGTAGGAGGGAGAGAGGGAAGGAGTAGGGAGAGAGGGAGGGAAGGAGTAGGGAGAGAGGGAGGGAAGGAACGAGGGGGAAAGAAGAGGTAGGGAGAAAAGAGGTAGGGGAGGGAAGAGGCAGGGAGGGTAGAGGTAGGGATAGAAGGGATAGGGAGGGAGGGAAGGAAGGTGGGCGCAGGGAAGCAAGAGGGAAGGACACAAAAACCTGTTTGAGGAAAAGAATTCTAGGTCATGGGAAAGAAAAAGACAAAGCAACACGTGATATAAGAGGCCTAGGAGGTGTGAGAGGAAGGAAGAGAGTGGGAAGGAATGCTTCAGGAAAGCCGGGTCATGGAACAGAACGTAGACAGAGGAAAGGGAGCAGAGGGGATATACCAGACGGGAAACCACACCAGAACATAAACAAAGGAATAGCCTAAACAGATTCCCGGCATGTGGAACGGGAACCTATGAAGGAAAGCAACGGGAAGGAGTAATAAAGGGGAGAGAGGATACTCTGGGACAGGGGGGAGGGAGAGGGAGGTGGGAAAGGCAACAAGACAGGAAGAGAGAGAGACGGAGGGGAGGGAGGGGCAGACCAGGAGGACAAGAGGCCGGGTATATAAGCGGGAGAAACCTGCCCAGACTTCATACCGGTGAGACACTCAGGTGGCGCCGTCCATGATGAAGACCGCTGTGAGTCTTCACTCGGAGGCTGTGGTAGTGGCAGCTGTGGTAGTGGCAGCGAGTGGCAGCTGTGGTAGTGGCAGCGAGTGGCAACTGTGGCAGTGGCAGCGAGTGTCAGCTGTGGTAGTGACAGCTGTGGCAGTGGGAGCGAGTGTCAGCTATAGTAGCGGGAGCGAGTGTCTGCTATGCTAGTAGCAGTGAGTGACAGCTGTGGCAGTGGGAGCTGTGGTAGTGGCAGCTGTGGCAGCGAGTGGCAGCTGTGGTAGTGGCAGCGAATGGCAGCTGTGGTAGTGGCAGCGAGTGGCAACTGTGGCAGTGGCAGCGAGTGTCAGCTGTGGTAGTGACAGCTGTGGCAATGGGAGCGAATGGCAGCTGTGGTAGTGGGAGTGAGTCACAGCTGTGGCAGTGGGAGTGAGTAACAGCTGTGGCAGTGAGAGCGAGTGACAGCTGTGGCAGTGGGAGCGAGTGACAGCTGTGGCAGTGGGAGCGAGTGGCAGCTGTGGTAGTGGGAGCGAGTGGCAGCTGTGGTAGTGGGAGCGAGTGGCAGCTGTGGTAGTGGGAGTGAGTGGCAGCTGTGGCAGTGGGAGTGAGTGGCAGCTGTGGTAGTGGGAGTGAGTGACAGCTGTGACAGTGGGAGTGAGTGGTAGCTGTGGCAGTGGGAGTGAGTGGCAGCTGTGGTAGTGGGAGCGAGTGGCAGCTGTGGTAGTGGGAGTGAGTGGCAGCTGTGGTAGTGGGAGTGAGTAGCAGCTGTGGTAGTGGGAGTGAGTGGCAGCTGTGGTAGTGGGAGTGAGTGGCAGCTGTGGCAGTGGGAGTGAGTGGCAGCTGTGGTAGTGGGAGTGAGTGGCAGCTGTGGTAGTGGCAGCGAGTGACAGCTGTGGTAGTAGCAGCGAGTGACAGCTGTGGTAGTGGCAGCGAGTGACAGCTGTGGTAGTAGCAGCGAGTGACAGCTGTGGCAGTGGCAGCGAGTGGCAGCTGTGGTAGTGGGAGCGAGTGGCAGCTGTGGTAGTGGGAGCGAGTGGCAGCTGTGGTAGTGGGAGCGAGTGACAGCTGTGGTAGTGGCAGCGAGTGACAGCTGTGGTAGTGGCAGCGAGTGACAGCTGTGGTAGTGGCAGCGAGTGACAGCTGTGGTAGTGGCAGCTTTGGTAGTAGCAGCGAGTGACAGCTGTGGTAGTAGCAGCGAGTGACAGCTGTGGTAGTGGGAGCGAGTGACAGCTGTGGTAGTGGCAGCGAGTGACAGCTGTGGTAGTGGCAGCTGTGGTAGTGGGAGCGAGTGACAGCTGTGGTAGTGGGAGCGAGTGACAGCTGTGGTAGTGGGAGCTGTGGTAGTGGCAGTGAGTGGCAGCTGTGATAGTGGCAGCGAGTGACAGCTGTGGTAGTGGCAGCGAGTGACAGCTGTGGTAGTGGCAGCGAGTGACAGCTGTGATAGTGGCAGCGAGTGACAGCTGTGGTAGTGGCAGTGAGTGGCAGCTGTGGTAGTGACAGTGAGTGGCAGCTGTGGTAGTGGCAGTGAGTGGCAGCTGTGCTAGTGGTAGTGGCAGTGAGTGGCAGCTGTGCTAGTGGTAGTGGCAGCGAGTGGCAGCTGTGGTAGTGGCAGCGAGTGGCAGCTGTGGTAGTGGCAGTGAGTGGCAGCTGTGGTAGTGGCAGCGAGTGGCAGCTGTGGTACTGGCAGTGAGTGGCAGCTGTGGTAGTGGCAGTGAGTGGCAGCGAGTGGCAGCTGTGGTAGTGGCAGCTGTGGTAGTGGCAGTGAGTGACAGCTGTGGTAGTGGCAGCTGTGGTAGTGGCAGTGAGTGGCAGCTGTGGTAGTGGCAGCTGTGGTAGTGGCAGTGAGTGGCAGCTGTGGTAGTGGCAGTGAGTGGCAGCTGTGGTAGTGACAGCTGTGGTAGTGGCAGTGAGTGGCAGCTGTGGTAGTGGCAGTGAGTGGCAGCTGTGGTAGTGGCAGCGAGTGACAGCTGTGTTAGTGGCAGTGAGTGGCAGCTGTGGTAGTGGCAGTGAGTGGCTGCTATGTTAGTGGCAATGAGTGGCAGCTATGTTAGTGGCAGTGAGTGGCAGCTGTGCTAGTGGCAGTGAGTGGCAGCTGTGCTAGTAGCAGTGAGTGGCAGCTATGTTAGTGGCAGTGAGTGGCAGCTGTGGTAGTGGCAGTTAGTGGCAGCTGCGCTAGTGACAGTGAGTGGCAGCTGTGCTAGTGCTGTGCCAGCTGTGCTGTGCCAGCTGTGCCACTGCCACAGCTAGTGGCAGCTGTGCCACTGCCACAGCTAGTGGCAGCTGTGCTAGTGGCAGTTAGTGGCAGCTGTGCTGTGCCAGCTGTGCTGTGCCAGCTGTGCCACTGCCACAGCTAGTGGCAGCTGTGCCACTGCCACAGCTAGTGGCAGCTGTGCTAGTGGCAGTTAGTGGCAGCTGTGCTAGTGGCAGCGAGTGACACACATCCATATGTGATATAGTGCAGAAAATGTATTCATTTAGAGAAAGCTTAATCACCATTGTCTAAGAAAAAATCTAAATATTTAATTGCAAAAATAATACATTACCAGGTATCTTAATAAAAGTCTCCTAAGACTGCCTACTCTAGGCTACCGTACAGCTAACTAAACTGTCCGTCACTCTTAACAAATGTTGTAATTACAAAATCCTTTGTTTGGTATCTTTGGAAAGATGATATACGCATCTATAATTGACGTGGAGGAAATATTATTAACTTAATAAAAAATCATTATAAAATTTGGCAGATAAAAATAATTCAAATATTAAAAATATTAAATATCATTTTAGTACTGAAAATTTTGCGCAATAAACCCTCAATGTCAGTTTTGTATATAGTTAATAATGACTTGTATTCGACTAATATGATTAAGTTTTAAATTTTGAACGAAAACAAAAAATAATGCCGACATAAATATGTAAAACTAATACTTAGAGTAGCCCAATTTCTCTTAAATACATCTCAAAATACAGCCTAAAAAGACTAGGCCTTCATATATTATATACAAAATTATACATTAGGCTGGGAACTGAGATGCCGTTCCTGAGCCTAATGTGACGCTGTAACATTTCTGCCATTTGCCAGAGGTGCCATATAATGTTGCAGGTGATTGCGGTTCTTGTGGGTCTTGCCGTGACAGCGAAGCTTGGCGATGTAGCCCACGGCGGCCAGCACTACCTCCCGCGGCATGACAGCCACCAGCACCAGCGGACGCAGGTCCCAACACTCGATAACGGCCTGCACCAACCGGCCCACAACCAGCCCATCAGTGAGCGCTTCACCGTCGTGGCTGAGTCGATCCGTCACAGCGAGTATGCGTCCAGCGCCACCAGGGACAAGCCTCCAGCAGTCAGAGGATCATACTCGTGAGTGCGTCAGCCGGGTCTAGGGTCTTCATTTCTCATTCCCTCCTCACTCCTATCCCTGCCTTCCCCCACCCCCTCACTCTCTCTCTGGTCACATCGCTAACTAATGTGTGTGTACTCGCTGGTGGCATAATCCAGTTTGCTTGGGAGAGAAGTGCTGCTGGTGGACCACTGGGGGGTCACACTCGGGAGGCCCAACACTACGCGGCGTACTACCAGCGGCGTCCTCGACGATCTTGAACTTCTTGGTTGTGTACCTAACTAATATACATCTACAAAGGCCTTAAAAGATAATGGTATTTCGCACAACTGTGTTTAACTCCGGGATGGCTCAACATCTCCATTTCTCTCTCCTTCTCTGGCTCACTGATCTCACTCTCATTCTCTATCTTTATCGAATTCTACCTCATTATTATGCAGTCCCCGTGGTGTAGTGGTAAGACACTCGCCTGGCATTTTGCGAGTGCTTTGACCTGGGTTCGTATCCTGGCCGGGGAGGATTTACTAGGCGCCAATCCTTAACTGTAGCCTCTGTTTACCCAACAGTGAAATGGGTATCTACTCGTTAAACGATTTGGCTGGGTCGTATTACGGGTAACATAGGATTAAGGACTTGCCCGAAACGCTATGCGTGCTAGTGGCTGTACAAGAATGTAAGGACTCTTGTATATATATATAAATAACAAAATAAAACAATTATCTCACATTCTTAATTTTCTCTCCCTCTCTCTCTCTTTCACTCTACCACTTTCTCATTCCGTCTCTCCATCTCTTACTTTCAGCCTCTCTCCTACTCCCGACCAATAACTCGTGCTCAACCTATCTCTTCTCCCTCTCAGCCCGCCACATATGATAGATGATCATAAAATAGAGTCGTTATTATAGTAGGAAAAACCACATCTGTGGTAAAGTAATATTATAAACCACAGTTGTTATAATGGAGACAGCTTTTTCATTTCCCTCCTCCCCTCCAACCCCCCACCAGCCCCCTCTACCCTCCACCCAAGAATAATCAGACATTTCCCTTCTCTTCCCCGCATTACGGTCGGCCGACACTGACCGACCTACATCAGACATTCAATAGACAGATAAACAGAGAATATAGCTCTTTATTTTCCTAACTCATTCCATTTTTATAACTTCGAGTGTGTCTTTTTCTGATAAACATTCATGGGTGGTTAGTCGATTCAATTGTCATTTCCACCTGACAGGTGGACGGCCCCTAACGGAGAGAGCTTCCTTGTTGAGTACGTCGCTGATGAGAGAGGCTTTCGACCAGTGATCCACCGTGGAAGTTCTGCATCTTCCTTCGGATCGTTAAACAGCTTACCCGCTGCTTCCAGTGCTTCCAGAGAATCTGCAAGTGGAACGACGGGCCATTCTTCATCTTCCGATGCTTCAAGAGGCTCTTCTAATGGGTCAACGGGCTTTGCAGATACTTCTGGTATTTCACAAGGATCAAGAAGTGGATCTGCAGGCGTTTCCATTACTTCCGGTGCTTCCCTAGAATCCAAGAGTGAATCTACAGAATTGTCAGCTTTTTCTGGTGCTTCCCAAGGATCCGGAAGTGGAACGATTGGCTTCTCATCATCTTCTGGTGCTTCACGAGGAACCGGAAGTGGAACGACTGGCTTCTCAACATCTGGGGCTTCACAAGCATCCAGAAGTGGAACGAACGGCTTTTCATCGTCTTCTGGAGCTTCACGAGGAACCGGAAGTGGAACGACTGGCTTCTCAACATCTGGGGCTTCACAAGCATCCAGAAGTGGAACGAACGGCTTCTCATCGCCTTCTGGAGCTTCAAAAGCATCCAAAAGTGAAACGACTGGCTTCTCATCATCTTTTGGTGCTTCACGTGGATCTGTAAGTGGAACGACTGGCTTATCTTCAGGTGCTTCACAAAGACCCGGAAGTGGAACGACTGGCATCTCATCATCTTCTGGTGCTTCACAAGGATCCAGAATTCGAACGACTGCCTTGTCGTCACCTTCTAGTGCTTCACATGCATCCGGAAGTGGAACGACTGACTTCTCATCGTCTTCTGGTGCTTCACAAGGATCCGGAAGTGGAACGACTGGCTTCTCATTGTCTTCTGGTGCTTCACATGCATCCGGAAGTGGAACGACTGGCTTCTCGTCGTCTTCTGGTGCTTCACAAGGATCCGGAAGTGGAACGACTGGATTTTCGTCACCTTCTAGTGCTTCACATGCATCCGGAAGTGGAACGACTGGCTTCTCATCATCTTCTGGTGCTTCCCAAGCATCAAGAAGTGGAACGACTGGCTTCTCATCGTCCTCTGGTGCTTCACTAGGATCCGGAAGTGGAACGACTGGCTTCTCGTCGTCTTCTGGTGCTTCACAAGGGACCGGAAGTGGAACGACTGGTATCTCATCGTCTGGGGCTTCACAAGCCTCCAGAAGTGGAACGACTGGCTTCTCGTCGTCTTCTGGTGCTTCACTAGGATCCGGAAGTGGAACGTCTGGCTTCTCATCATCTTCTGGTGCTTCACAAGGAATCAGAAGTGGAACGATTGGCTTCTCATCGTCTTCTGGTGCTTCACAAACATCCGGAAGTGGAACGACTGGCTTCTCGTCGTCTTCTGGTGCTTCACTAGGATCCGGAAGTGGAACGTCTGGCTTCTCATCATCTTCTGGTGCTTCACAAGGAATCAGAAGTGGAACGATTGGCTTCTCATCGTCTTCTGGTGCTTCACAAGCATCCGGAAGTGGAACGACTGGCTTCTCATCTTCTGGTGCTTCCCTAGGATCCGGAAGTGGAATAACTGGCTTTGCTTCGGGTGCTTCACAAGCATCTGGAAGTGGAACGACTGGCTTCTCATCGTCTTCTGGTGCTTCACAAGGAACCGGAAGTGGAACGACCGGATTCTCGTCGTCTTCTGGTGCTTCACAAGCATCCGGAAGTAGAACGACTGGCTTCTCATCTTCTGGTGCTTCCCTAGGATCCGGAAGTAGAACGACTGGCTCCTCATCGTCTTCTGGTGCTTCACAAGGAATCGGAAGTGGAACGACTGGCTTCTCATCGTCCTCTGGTGCTTCACTGGGATCCGGAAGTGGAACGACTGGCTTCTCATCGTCTTCTGGTGCTTCACAAACATCCGGAAGTGGAACGACTGGCTTCTCATCGTCTTCTGGTGCTTCACAAGGAATCGGAAGTGGAACGACTGGCTTCTCATCGTCCTCTGGTGCTTCACTAGGATCCGGAAGTGAAACGACTGGCTTCTCGTCCTCTTCTGGTGCTTCACAAGCATCCGGAAGTGGAACGACTGGCTTCTCATCGTCTTCTGGTGCTTCACAAGCATCCGGAAGTGGAACGACTGGCTTCTCGTCGTCTTCTGGTGCTTCACAGGCATCCGGAAGTGGAACGACTGGCATCTCATCGTCCTCTGGTGCTTCACTAGGATCCGGAAGTAGAACAACTGGCTACTCGTCGTCCTCTGGTGCTTCCCAAGGTACCGGAAGTGGAATAACTGGCTTTGCTTCTGGTGCTTCCCTAGGATCCAGAAGTGGAACGACTGGTATCTCATCGTCTTCTGGTGCTTCACAAGGAACCGGAAGTGGAACGATTGGCTTCTCATCGTCTTCTGGTGTTTCACAAGGATCCGGAAGTGGGACGACTGGCTTCTCATCGTCCTCTGGTGCTTCCCAAGGAACCGGAAGTGTAATAACTGGCTTTGCTTCTGGAGGTTCACAAGGATCCGGAAGTGGAACGACTGGCTTCTCATCGTCTTCTGGTGCTTCACAAGGAATCGGAAGTAGAACGACTGGCTTCTCATCGTCCTCTGGTGCTTCACTAGGATCCGGAAGTGAAACGACTGGCTTCTCGTCGTCTTCTGGTGCTTCACAAGCATCCGGAAGTGGAACGACTGGCATCTTATCGTCTTCTGGTGCTTCACAAGGATCCGGAAGTGGAACGATTGGCTTCTCGTCGTCTTCTGGTGCTTCACAAGGAACCGGAAGTGGAACGACTGAATTCTTATCGTCTTCTGGTGCTTCACAAGGAACCGGAAGTGGAACGAATGGATTCTCATCGTCTTCTGTTGCTTCACAAGGAACCGGAAGTGGAACTACTGGCTTCTCGTCGTCTTCTGTTGCTTCACAAGGAACCGGAAGTGGAACTACTGGCTTATTATCAACTTCTGGTGCTTCACAAGGATCCGGAAGTGGAACGACTGGCTTCTCATCATCTTCTGGTGGTTCACAAGGATCCGGAAGTGGAACGACTGGCTTCTCATCATCTTCTGGTGCTTCACAAGGAATCGGAAGTGGAACGACTGGCTTCTCATCGTCCTCTGGTGCTTCACAAGGATCCGGAAGTGAAACGACTGGCTTCTCGTCGTCTTCTGGTGCTTCACAAGCATCCGGAAGTGGAACGACTGGCATATCATCGTCCTCTGGTGCTTCACTAGGATCTGGAAGTGGAATAACTGGCTTTGCTTCTGGTGCTTCCCTAGGATCCGGAAGTAGAACGACTGGCTTCTCATTGTCTTCTGGTGCTTCCCAAGGTACCGGAAGTGGAACAACTGGCTTTGCTTCTGGTGCTTCCCAAGGATCCGGAAGTGGAACGACTGGTATCTCATCGTCTTCTGGAGCTTTACAAGGAATCGGAAGTGGAACGATTGGCTTCTCGTCGCCTTCTGGTGCTTCACAAGAAACCGGAAGTGGAACGACTGGATTCTTATCGTCTTCTGGTGCTTCACAAGGAACCGGAAGTGGAACGACTGGATTCTCATCGTCTTCTGGTGCTTCACAAGCATTCAAAAGTGGAACGATTGGCTTCTCATCGTCTTCTAGTGCTTCACAAGAATCCATAAGTGAAACGACTGGCTTCTTATCGTCTTCTGATGCTTCACAGGGATCCGGAAGTGGAACGACTGGCTTCTCGTTGTCTTCTGGTGCTTCACAAGGAACCGGAAGTGGAACTACTGGCTTATTATCAACTTCTGGTGCTTCACAAGGATCCGGAAGTGGAACGACTGGCTTCTCATCATCTTCTGGTGCTTCACAAGGTACCGGAAGTGGAATAACTGGCTTTGCTTCTGGTGCTTCCCTAGGATCCGGAAGTGGAACGACTGGCATCTCATCGTCTTCTGGTGCTTCCCAAGGAATCGGAAGTGGAACGACTGGCTTCTCATCATCTTCTGGTGCTTCACAAGGAACCGGAAGTGGAACTACTGGCTTATTATCAACTTCTGGTGCTTCACAAGGATCCGGAAGTGGAACGACTGGCTTCTCATCATCTTCTGGTGCTTCACAAGGAACCGGAAGTGGAACTACTGGCTTCTCATCGTCTTCTGGTGCTTCACAAGGAACCGGAAGTGGAACGACTGGCTTCTCGTCGTCTTCTGGTGCTTCACAAGGAACCGGAAGTGGAACTACTGGCTTCTCATCATCTTCTGGTGCTTCACAAGGAACCGGAAGTGGAACTACTGGCTTCTCATCGTCTTCTGGTGCTTCACAAGGAACCGGAAGTGGAACGACTGGATTCTCATCGTCCTCTGGTGCTTCCCAAGGTACCAGAAGTGGAATAACTGGCTTTGCTTCTGGTGCTTCCCTAGGATCCGGAAGTGGAACGACTGGCATCTCATCGTCTTCTGGTGCTTTACAAGGAACCGGAAGTGGAACGACTGGATTCTTATCGTCTTCTGGTGCTTCTCAAGGAACCGGAAGTGGAACGACCGGCTTCTCGTCGTCTTCTGGTGCTTCACAAGGAACCGGAAGTGGAACGACTGGATTCTTATCGTCTTCTGGTGCTTCTCAAGGAACCGGAAGTGGAACAACTGGCTTTTCATCGTCTTCTGGTGCTTCACAGGGATCCGGAAGTGGAACGACTGGCTTCTCGTCGTCTTCTGGTGCTTCACAAGGAACCGGAAGTGGAACTACTGGCTTATTATCAACTTCAGGTGCTTCACAAGGATCCGGAAGTGAAACAACTGGCTTCTCATCGTCTTCTGGTGCTTCAGAAGCACCCAGAAGTGGAACGACTGGCTTCTCATCGTCTTCTGATGCTTCACAAGGATCCGGAAGTGGAATAACTGGCTATGCTTCTGGTGCTTCACAAGCATCCGGAAGTGGAACGACTGGATTCTCATCATCTTCTGATGCTTCACAAGGATCCGGAAGTGTAACGACTGGCTTCTCATCATCTCCTGGTGCTACCCAAGGAACCGGAAGTGGAACAACTGGCTTCTCATCATCTTCTGATGCTTCACAAGGATCCGGAAGTGGAATAAATGGCTTTTCTTCTGGTGCTTCTCTAGGATCCGGAAGTGGAACGACTGGCTTCTTGTCGTCTTCTGGTGCTTCACAGGGATCCGGAAGTGGAACGACTGGCTTCTCATCGTCTTCTGGTGCTTCACAAGCATCCGTAAGTGGAACGACTGGCTTCTCATCTTCTGGTGCTTCCCCAGGATCCCTAAGTGGAACGACTGGCTTCTCATCGTCCTCTGGTGCTTCCCAAGAAACCAGAAGTGGAACGACTGGCTTTTCATCATCTTCTGGTGCTTCCCAAGGAACCGGAAGTGGAACGACTGGCTTCTCACCTACTTCTGGTCTTTCTCAAGGGTCTGGAAGTGCATCGCCGGGCTCCTCTGGTTCCGATGCTTCCCGAGGGTCTGGTATATCTACGGGTTTCTCTGCTGTTTCTGGGGCTTCCCACGGATCCGGAAGTAGAACAACTGGCTTCTCATCTTCATCTGGTTTTTCACAAGCATATGGAAGTGGACCGACCAATTCGAGGGGGTTTTCTGCTTCTTCTAGTGCTTCCCAAGAGTCAGGTATATCAGCGGCGTTCTCCGACCCTTCAGGTGTTTCAGAATCTACGGTCTTCTCTACTGCTACTAAGACTTCCCAAGAATCCACTTCCCGGGGTTCCGGAATTGGAACGTTTGGCCTCTCTTCTCCTTCTGGAAGTGAATCATTAGATCCCTCCACTTTACCAGACACGTCTTTGAACTTGTTAAATGGTCCTTCTGTCTCCTCTACATCCTTTGATGTTTCTCTTGAACCCGGAAGTGGTTCGTCTTCCTCTACTACAGCTGATGATTCTGGAAGTGGATTTTCCATTTCAAGACTTTTACCCACTTCATCAAACAATTTATCGTCTGGTGAGGCTGGTACAGGTATAGCAGAGAGCCTGGCTGGCCAGAGCTCCCCTCCTAGTAGTACTCTTGACAAGGTTGCCTTCTCTGTAGGCTCCAGTGGTTCTAAGAGTGGAGTCACAAGCACCTCCATCTTCTCAGATCATTCTACTGGATCTAGATTGTCATTTACCCCTTCAACTGGCTCAGGCTCTAGCTCTAGTTTTCCGCCCACTTCTGCAACTGCACCTGGAACGAGACCATCTAGTCAGATCACTGAAGGTGTAGCAGTTATCTTAGCTGGTCAAGGTACAACTGCTGGAGATTCTCGTGAACAAGCTTCCTTCTCTGGTGCTTCTAGCATTTCTGGTAGTGGATCGTCCAGCTCCACCCTCTCTGGTGCGTCTGCTGGCTCTGGTATTGGATTTAACAACATTAGGTTTTCAGAGACCTCTTCAGCTGGCTCAGGCTCTGGTTCCAGATTTACATCCACTCCGACTGTGTTGAGTTCTGATTCGAGATTCTCATCCACCTCTTCAACTGGATCAGCTGCTGGTTCTAGATTCACCTCTACTTCATCACCTAGACCTGGCTCCAGACCATCCAGTGAGATCATTCAAGGTGTAGCAGTCGTCCTGGCTCGTGGACAGGCTGCATCCCCCAGTTCTTCCACTGATTCTGGAAGTGCATCGCCCAGTTCCTCAACCTTCTCAAGTAGTTCTTCTGGTTCCAGTAAGGGATTTACCACCACTACATTTTCACCCATCTCCTCAACTGGATCAGACTCTAGTTCAAGGTTCTTAGTCACCTCTTCACCTCGAACAGGTACTGGCTCTAAATTTACATCCTTTTTATCAACTGGACCTGCTGGTTCCAGACCATCCTCTGAGATCATCAAAGGTGTAGCAGTGGTTCTGTCTGGTCACAATGCTCCTGCTGGGGGTGCTCGACGACAGGCTGCCTTCTCCAGTACGTCCAGTGATTCTGGAAAAGAATCGTCCAGCTCCTCCAGCAACTCTAATAGGTCTTCTGGTCCTGGATTATATTCCTCTAGATTTTCGCCTGTCCCTTCAATTGGCTCAGGCACCCATTCTGGGTTTCCATCCACTTCTTCACCTATATCAGATTTTAACACAAGATTCTCGTCCACTTCAACGGGACCAAGTTCCGGTTCTAGGTTCTCCTCTACCTCTTCAACTCAATCAAACTCTGTCTCTAGTTTTCCATCCACCTTTTCAGTAGGATCAGGCTTCAGTTCCGGGTTCCTATCCACTTCTTCAACAGGATCAGGCTTCATTTCAAAACCATCTTTCGCTTCTTCAACTGAATCAACCTCTGACCCAAAGGCCTCATCCACCTTTCAAACTGGACCAGGTTCTGGTTCCAGGTTCTCAACCCCTTCTTCAGTTAAATTTGGCTCCTTGTCATCTGGTCAAGTCGGTGAAGGAGTATCATTATTCCTGGCTGTCGAAGATTCTTCTTCTGGAAGTATTGGCAGTCAAACTTCATTTTCCGGCGTTTCCAGTGGTTCTGGGAGTGGCTCATCAAGTTCCTCCACCTTCTCCGATACTTCTACTAGTTCTGATAATAAAGTTTCATCCTCTGTGTTTTCATTCCCCTCTTTAACTGGACCAGGTTCTGTCTCTAGTTTTCCATCCACCTCATCAACTGGATTAGTCTCCAATTCCAAGTTCTCATCAACTTCAATTGAATCCAGCATCAGCTCTAGGTTTCCATCAGCTTCTTCAGCAGGCTCAGTCTCTGGGATAACTGGTCAGGTTGCTGAAGGCGCAGCAGAAGTTATTCGGGGCCAGGCTGCCTTCTCTGGTGCCTCCAGTGGTTCCCTATATGGTTCTTCGAACTCTTTTTCGAGTTCTAATGTTCATTCTGGCGGTGGAGCTCCTAACTCTTTAGCTTTCTCCAGGGCCTCAATTGGCTCTGAAGGTCACTCGTCCAGCTCTGGCTCCGGAAATAAACATAATAATTTTAGGCCTTCTTCAATATCTTCATCTAGTTCAAGCTCTGAGTCTATTCACTCCACCACTTCTTCACTTCGATTTAACTCCGAGTCCACATCAGGCCAGGTCGTTAAAGGAATAACAGTGACCCAGGCTGGACGAAGTGGTGCTGGTGGAGTCGTTCGTAGTCAGGATACTTCTACTAGTTCTTCTAGTGGAACTGTAAATGAACTGTTAGGAGTCTCGGCCATCTCTAGTTCGCCTGGTTCCAGTGGTGGACCATCGGATTCCTCTACCTCCTCTAGTTCTGTCATTGATTCCAGTAGCATATCGGTAGGCTCCTACTCCATCTCTGGCTCTTCGCTTGGCTCCAGTAGTGGACTGTCTAACTCCGCTTTCTCTGGTTCTTCACTTGGTCCCTCTAATAAACTATCCAGTTCCTCTAATCTCGCAGAGGCTTCTCAAGGATCAGTAAGTGCCACCTTTAGCCCTGGTGTATCAGGAGGCTTAACAAACCCTAATGATGGAATAAAAGGTTTAGTTTCTTTTATTCCTGCACCAGAGATTGCAGTCAAAACACCTCCTCCAGGAGCAGGTTACCTTTATAATCCTCCAATAATCAGTAACTTACCTCCGGAAACAGAAAATTCAGGATTTTCGTCGCAATCATCCGGCTTTACAGGCTCATCAGGGTTACTGGGGTCAGATGGTTCATCGAGTTCAACGCCTGGCTCTCTACCTGGTTCTTCCTCTTTAGGAATTGATGATTCCAGTGGTGCTGGATTTGGATTTGCATCTGATTCTGGATTTACACCACAAAGTTCCATTGGCTCTGGATTCGGATCGACATCTGAAAGCTCTACTGATTCTAGTTCTGGATTATCCTCGGGAAGTTCCGCTGACAGTACTAGTTCTGGATTTACAGCAGGCAGTTCCGACTCTCAACTTTCATCCACTGGCCAAGCTGGTGGCAATATAGCAGTGGTTCTGGCTGGCCAAGGAGGTCTATCTGGAACTACCAGTCCAAATGCACTAAAGGTTTCTTCTAGCAATGACAGAGATAATGCAAACACTCTATCCTCCACGGTTGACCTTCGTTCTGGATTCTCATCTGAAGGTTCCAGCGATTCCAGTAGCCCCAGCTCTCAACTCTCTTCCGGAAGCTCCTTTGGTTCTATTGCCGGATTTTCACCAGGAAATTCAATTGGTTCTACTACCACATTATCATCTGACAGCTCAACTGGTTCCAGTTCTGAATTATCTTCAGGCAACCCAATTAATGATTCTAGTTTTCCGTTCGCTGATGCCTCTGGGTCAAAACTGTATGCTGGATCAAGCTCTGGCACTACGATTTCATCCTTATCAACTAGATCATCGACTGGTCAAGGCGGGGACAATGTAGCAGTGATCCTGGCTGGGCAAGGTGTTCCAGCCAGTGTTGCTGACGGCCAGACAGCTTATCAAGTCTCTGCTGATACCGGTACAATTGGTATTAGTCCTGGCCTCACTTCAGGCAGCTCTAGTGGCGTTTTAAATTCCCAGCTCCCTAGCACCTCTGGCTCTCGCTTCTCTACTGAATCAAGTTTTGGTTCTGGACTTTCATCTACCACATCAAATGGATTGAACTCTGGACCTTCTGTTGGCCTGGTCGATGGTAGTGCAGCAGCGACCCTTGCTGGTCAAGGTGTTTCAACAAAGGTTACACAGGAACAAGAAGCTGTTAAGAATTTTGTGGGTGCTGGAATAATAAGCACAGGCTCTGGATCCTCTTCAGATAGCGCCACTGTTGTTGGTCCTGGAGTCCCACAAGGTATCTCCACTGGACTGTTATCAGGCAGCTCCAGTGGTTCAAGAAATGAATTCACTTCAGATAGCTCTACTGCTCCCATTTCTGGGTTCTCTTCTAACTCCTCTATTGATGGCTCCGACTCGCAGCTTTCCAGTACCTCTGGTTCTAGTTTATCAGCTGGGTCAAGTTCCAGCTCTTCGTTAACATTCAGCCCTTCAACTGGATCAAGCTCTGGTGAGAGTGTAGCAGTGATCTTGGCTCATCAAGGTATTCCATCAGCAGTTACTCGTAGTCAGGAAACGTTGAGCACCTCTATTGGCACAATCGCAAATGGCAGTCCAGGATCCTCCTTAGGTAGCTCTGTTGATATCAGTTCTGGATCCTCCTTAGGTAGCTCTGTTGATATCAGTTCTGGATCCTCCTTAGGTAGCTCTGTTGATATCAGTTCTGGATCCTCCTTAGGTAGCTCTATTTATGTAAGTTCTGGGTTTTCATCTGGGAGCCCCGTTGATGTCACTTCTGGATTTTCTTCTGACAACTCAGCTGTTAGCTTTACATCATCTCCAGAAAGCTCCGTTGGTATTGCTTCAGGGTTTTCTTCAGGTAGTGAATTAGGTTCCGATTCTGGATTATCTCCTGGTAGTTCGATTGAAATAGGTTCTGGATTATCTGGCACAGGTTCTAGTTTCTCTTCAGGTAGCGTTACTGGTTCCAGCTCTAAACATCCTAGTTCCTCTATCTCTCATTTCTCTAACGAAGCTAGCTCTGGCACTAGATTTTCATCTTTATCTTCAACTAGATCATCAACTGGTCAAAACCCGGACAGTGTAGCAGTGATCTTGGCTGGGCAAGGTGTTCCAGGCGGAGTTTCTGATGGTACTTCTGCAGTTACTAGTTCAACTGGTATTAGTTCCAAATTCACTTCAGGCAGCTCCACTAGTGCTATTTCTGGATTGTATTCAAGTAGCTTGTCTAGTTTAATTTCTGGATTATCTTCAGGCGTCGATATCAGATCTGGATTACCTACGGGCAGCTCCAGTGGCTCGGGCTCTGGATTTTCTTCCGAGAGCACATCTGAAGTGCCCAACTCACAGGCATCTGGTGCCTCTTCTGGTCAGGCCGTTGGTGGTGCGGCGGTGATCTCGGTGGCTGGCGAAGGTGCTCCTGTCGAAGCAACTCGTAGTCATGAAACATTCCAGGTGGCCGCTGGAACTGACAATTCCGAATCATCGTTAGGCTTAAGCTCTATAAATTTGTCTAGTTCATCGCTTAAACCTTCAAGCTCTTCCCCCGAATCTTCTAGTCGAGATGCACTGCCTGGTCTCAATACAGCATCTTTCCTGTCCAGTGGTGGTGGGGCAGTGCTGCCACACAGACTGTCTGGAACCACTCTCCATACTGCTAGTGGAGGCAGTGTTCGCAAATTCTCAAGCAGCTCGTTCCAGACCTCGCAAGGATACAGTTCCAGCAGCAGCAGCAGCAGCAGCAGCAGCAGCACGAGGAACTATGGCACCATTCCCAACGTTAAGGATGTTGCAGTTATTCTCGCCAAGACGGGTCAGCTCTAGACACTCCTTTTTGATCATTCCCACAGAATATGCTGTCAAATTAAGTACATTGTAGGTTGATAATTCTCACAGAACTTGGTAATTGTTTTCACAAATTATGCTAATGGTCTGCTGCCTTTAACTGTGTGCTGAGTGGAGAGGGTTTCAAGTAGACAGTATTGAAGACGGGCAAGTACAAAGTGCTGATGTTCCCTCCAAGGGGAAGTGTATCTTGTGTGTTCCTCCAAGGGGAATGCACCTTAAATGTTACCCCAAAGGAAGTGCATATGTGTTCCTCCAAGGGGAAGTGCGTCTCAAATATTCCTCCAAGGGGAAGTGCGTCTCAAATATTCCTCCAAGGGGGAGTGCGTCTCAAATACTCCTCCAAAGGGAAATGCATCTCAAATATTTCTCCAAGGGGAAGTATCTCAAATATTCCTCCAAGGGGAAGTGTATCTCAAATATGCCTCCTAGGGAAAGTATCTCAAATATTCCTCCAAGGAAAAAGTGTATCTCAAATATTCCTCCAAGGGGAAGTGCATCTCGTGTGTTCCTAGATGTTCGTGTTGTTACTAACTGCTAGCTTAGATGTAGATTAAGTTACTATTGTGTTTTGTATAATATACTATAAATGCCACGTTGTTATGTAAATAAAATGAAAGCACGTTGTAATAATTATTGTACTTTAAACCTATCTACACACGTCTACAGAAAGCTGCTGGGTGAAGACAGATGTGCAGGGTGAAGACAGATGTGCAGGGTGAAGACAGATGAGTGTAGACAGACATATAGGGTGGGAACAGTGTTGAGTGTAGACAGATCTGGAGTATAGAGAATTGCAGGGTACAGAGAGAGAGAGATGTAGGTTCTACCAGAGTGACAACGTTCATCACATAATATTGCAAGTCCTTAAAGAACACAAACCCGCTGCACTTGGCTACTCTGGCATGGCTGAAGCTCCTGTACATTCTCAGCCACTGCCCGTTTCCACAGCAGCGCCAAAAATATATATATTGGCGTGAAATGCTTCAAAGTTGCAGTAAAATTGTCAACGATCAATCGCATAAGCACGTTCAGGCACGTGACCCCGATCACGTGCTGAACTGGTGACAGATGTTCAGAAGCTGTTCACCGGACACATACAACGTCTTACTGGAAAATTACCCCAAGACCAATAAACAAGTCGCTCTACCGACCAGGCCAAGACCTCCACACACAACTGTATCCTGGAGGCAGCTCTCTCACTTGCGAGATGTCAACCGCCAAAACTTACAGCAATTATACACCATCCAGAGAAATTAGGCATAAAATGAACGAGTTCCAGCATGCGGAGAAGCCGGTGGCTGAGCGGACAGAACACTGTACGTGTGATCCTGTGGTCGCGGGTTCGATCCCGGGCGCCGGCGAGAAACGATGGGGAGAGTTTCTTTCACCCTGATGCCCCTGTTACCTAGCAGTAAATAGGTACCTGGGAGTTAGTCAGCTGTCACGGGCTGCTTCTGGGGGTGGAGGCCTGGTCGAGGACCGGGCCGCGGGACACTCAAGCCCCGAAATCATCTCAAGATAACCTCAAGATGCCTGCCTCCGTCACCAACAGACAGGGTAACCCCCCCCCCACCAGCATTCACTCCACAAACCCTAAAAAGAGGAACCATTGAGCTCGCAATGTTCCACGGGAGACATCTGGGGACCATGGCGATATAAGTGAACCAATACAGAAGACACCCGGGGAACTTCCGGGGGGGAACTAAACAACTGCTTGGCGTCAACGCCGCACCTCATCCACACGTTCAGGGAGGAAAACGACGAAGAACACTCTAACGAGATGGAGGACCCGCAAGAAAACGCAGACCTCATGGGCTCAGTCTGGAAAAATACTGTCACCTTCGAACACAGGAGAGCATTTAACAATGTACATTTCAACAGAGTTACCCAATGGATAAACAGGACTTAGAATCCTTCTTCAGTGCCCCCGTCATCGACCCAACAAACCTAAGTGCAGACAACCTCCTCGCAAGACCATTAACCATGCTTGACACGGCAGGAGTCGTAAGATGCACGCGCAACGAGGCCCCACGCCCTCAGGCATAGTTATCTTGAGATGGTTATCTTGAGATGATTTCGGGGCTTAGCGTCCCCGCGGCCCAGTCCTCGACCAGGCCTCTTTTTTTATACCCCCCCCCCCAGGAAGCAGCCCGTAGCAGCTGTCTAACTCCAGGTACCTATTTACTACTAGGTGAACAGGCGTATCAGGGTGAAAGAAACATTTTGCCCATTTGTCTCCGCCTTCACCGAGAAGGCCAAATAGTGGCCAAACAAAGCCACCTCCTGCCAGAAAACTACTTCCACTCCCTCCTTACTGTATTTCATGCACCCCCTGGCGTTAGGGTACATGCCAAAGTCTCCAACGCGGCAAAAACGACCCCAAACCCCCCAAAAAGTATATGCATCAACCATGTAAATATCGCCCAATAACCCTCCTAGAAGCAATAGGTAAATGTTTTGATTAAATCATACGAAACCCCCTCAACTATTACATAGACTATAACAATCTCTTTCCTGGAGCCAAATTGTCTCTCGGTAGTTAGATCAACCCAACATGCAATCAACATCATCTGCATGCAGCCTCCACCATCGGCCAAGTAACACTAATAACGAGAGATGTGCACAAGGCCTATGACAGCCTTGGCACGACGGACTTGCCTACAAACTTGCAGACATTCCTACACAAAACTATGTTTCTTAACCTAATAAGGAACTTTATAAGAATAACAGACCCGCCAACTGCTGCAACGGGAGAAGTGCCCTTCGTCCCAACAGCTGAAGTTCCACAAGGCTCGATGCTATTCACCATATTTATAAACGACCTTCCTCGGCCAGAATATAGACATCATAACCCAATTTGCAGGCGATGTAAGCCATGCAATAACGTCCAAAAAGGGAGGCAATCACCCAAACATGCCAGTGTCGAGAAAAGCAATCGTAGAACTCACCCTAACAGCAAAATGGGAAAGAACATTGACTCGCCGTGAACCCTGACAAGATCTAAATAAACACGGTTGGCTATATGACATAACACAATAACAAACGAAGGCGGGGGTTAGAATCAGGAGAGAACTCATAGCCATCAAGAACTCCAACCGTCCTAGGCTACAACTTCTACAGACTACTTAACTTCATTCAGTATGTCTCTGAGAAAACAGTAATAGCCAAAAGCTCCCTAGCAAAGCCCTTCAGATTCAGAAAAGCCTCAGGGCTCCACCTATGTAAAATTATCATTAGACAAACACCAGAATACCCAAATAACCTCCCCCCCCCCCCCCACCCTCCCCTTTAGCTGACCACAAAAACCAACAACTGAAAATCCAAATAGTTCAAAATAAGGCACTTTATTTATAACATTTAACATGGATTTATAACATTGTGGTTCGAACAGATATCGTCAGCAAAGCACTTGTTCCAGAAGTGATCGAACGTCATCAGTTGTGAGTCGTGTGTGAACTGTTTACACACGACTCAATCCTTTACCTGTTACAGATGTTTGCTGGGAAAGTTTGACTGGGTAATCTCCGAAAGGTTTCTGTTATGACCAGAGTAGACTGGGAAGTAAGACAGGATATTTGGCAAACATAAATGTAATTGTTAATGTAATAATCTCCGTTGAGGTCTGATAAAGACCATTTGTACCCTCTGTAATCCTTTTTTGCGCTACTGCTCGCAGGATGATTATGGAGTGCATAATAAACTAACCGCCCGGCGGCAGCAACAATAACAAAATTAAATAAAAGTGAATACATTGAGTTGGGAAGCAGTGATCCCGCATCGATACCAGACGCATGAGTAATTATTGCCATGTAAGCTCCAGGCTAATTTTAAGATAAGATGTGTAAATTGGTTAATTAATAAACATACAGAAGGGTACATTATATATGATGTAAATAAGGGAGAGATTGGTGATGACCAAATAAATCGGAGTATACTGTTACTGTATGATCAGTTGTCGGCTATTATGAGTCAATGTAGGAAGTTGGGAACATGAATTAAATTGAGAACTGGACTGATTGGAGGAGGTCACTTGGTGTTTGCGCTTGGTAAATTGCTTCAGATAAGTCTATATGTGTGTACGTTCTTGGCCACATATCTACATTGATAACTATATGTGCCTTGCAACTCCAGGTATACTCCACTGTTATTATGTATAGTGGGAGTAGGCTTGGAGAGGATCTGTGATGTATTTTATGAGTGAGGGACATTTTCCAATGTACATCCTTCAGAGGCCTGGGTATTTAGTTTGTGAGCTGGTATCTCCGCCCATGGTTGGGGGACTTCCGCCCCCCCCCCCGTCCTATCCCATATCCTTATCCCTTCCCAGTTTTATATAGTCGTAATGGCTTGGCGCTTCCCCCTAATAGTTCCCATCCCTTCCCCAGGTGGGAAGGGGTGGGAGAGGGAGCACTGAGCATTAACGTAAATGTCAATAGGTAGCGCCAGGGGTTTTATTATAGGCAAAGGGACTACAATGATGATTAAATTGTAAAGAATCAAAACTTTATTCTTTGTGGTCAGTGTGGAGACCTTAGACAGTTAAATTGTAGGATTACTTTCCCTGGGGGCCGAGCCTTGACTCACCCCACCTGGAGGACGTGCTATATGGTATATAAGTAATCAGGCCACCCCCCTGGGCCACGGGGTAGACATCTCCCGTCACGCAGGGTGCAGTCGCACCTCCACAGATCTCCAGTATCAACTCTGATACTGGCAAGGGCTCAAAAGGGCCACCACTTACGGGCTATTCATGCCCGTGCCACCTTTTGGGTGGCTTAATCTTCATCAATCCCCTGGCCACACACACTTGAGGAGACACTACACCGCTCCTGTGCCAGGTAAGTCCACTACGGGCTCACCATAGCCCGTGCTACTTGCCCCGCTCCTGTGCCAGGAGCGGGACAAGTAGCACGGTTGCTCCTGGCACAAGAGCGGGGGCAAGTAGTACAAGAAGTTGCAAGTAGGACGGGCTCACCATAGCCCGTGCTACTTGCAACTTGTTCCGAGTAGCTGAATCTATAACAACAACCACCCTGGCCACATATAATATTTTGGATATATTTTTCAAATATAAAGTATTATGTATATTTTACTTTTGTAAAAAAATTTAATTTAATTTAAATAAAATTTAAGTTAGGCCGAGGTTAGGTGTTTTGGTTCGGGGGGCGATTACTTGTATTTCCAGGACGAACATAGAATGAAAGTGAAGCAATGTTAGAATCGTGAGCAAAGTGTTTTTCATGCATATACAGGGTGTTTGGCCATTGTTTATGAAGACAGGCGTACAGCAGAGGTTCGAGAGAAATTCCATTATATGTTGCCCAGAAAGTTTAGAGTAACAATAACAGCTTCGAAACTATTCGAGATTGTATTTTCATTGTTCTGAAACACGACGCATCTTCAAGCTCTCTGAGGAAGGCGATAGTATTTATTCCCTCGGCAAGAATCGCCCCAGAGTCTTGTAGTTGAACTGTAATGAAAGTAGAATTTTCACTGCCAGCATCGTCCGGTTCCGTCAATTTCAATAAATTGTCTAACCCTCTCTGACTGACCTGCCCGAAACGCTGCGCGTACTAGTGGCTTTACAAGATTGTAAATACTATGCTATGTATTATCACAAACCCAATGTACCTTCTTGTATATAAATAAATAAATATTTATTTATTTAAACATGTTGACCCAAGTGATCATGATGGCACATTTTAGCGTTTTTTTTCTATTTTCATTGAAAACATATGTTCATGTCATTCACTTCTTTTTGCTACTTGGCCCAAAGACGCAATATAACATCACCTTATCTCCAATTTTGCAAGCTTCACTTTCTTAGCCATTTTATTTGCATCATTACACTGCAATCCTTTCAAATTCCGTTTGCCATGAGCGGGCACATTTGGGCACCCCGCAAAACCACTCATGACGTGCGTGGACATTCTCGGGCGGCCATGATGAGTTTCCCTGGACTTTCAAGTCACTTTACATAATTACATCATAACACAGTATTCGAAAAATTATTTTGTATTGTGAAGCTATATAGATTAATTAACAGTTTCACAGCAATATTTTTTTATTTGTTATTTATTTATATATTCAAGAGTTCTTACATTCTGGAACAGCCACTAGCAAGCATAACGTTTCGGGCAAGGCCTTAATCCTAATTTTCACACATACTCCCCAGGAAGCAGCTGTATAACTCCTAGGAACCTATTTACTGCTAGGTGAACAGGGGCATCAGGGTGAAAAAACTGTCCATTTGTTTCCGCTTCCGCCGGGGATAGAACCTGGACCCTTAGGACTACGAACCCAGAGCGCTGTCTACTTAGCCATCTGGCTCCCTAACATACAGTAGCTCCCACCGTTTTCTAATGTAATCCGTTCTCAAGAGACGGGGTCATAAACCAAAAATTCACAAACCAAAATGAATTTTCTTTGTAATGTTTCTGTTGTTACATAAAGTATGGTGACAATAAACACAGACAGAAGTTGTAGTATACAGAAGTTTGCAGGTGACACTTGGCGAGCAATGGTGTGATATCGAGTTGAGTGCACTGAGAGTTGGTACAGTATCTCTCAAGTGGAACACAGTTATAGCCCCGCTCCTGTGCCAGGTAAGTCCACTACGGGCTCACCATAGCCCGTGCTACTTGCCACTTTTTGTTCAGAGTAGCTGAATCTAAAACAACAACTCTCAAGTGTCTGCTCTAAACCACTCTTGAAAGTAGACTGATAATTACTGTTGTTGTTATAGATTCAGCTACTCGGAACAAGTTCCAAGTAGCATGGGCTATGGTGAGCCCGTAGTGGACTTACCTGGCATAGGAGCAGTGCTGAATGTGCTGTTAATTACTGATTGATTGATTGATGAAGATTAAGCCACCCAAAAGGTGGCACGGGCATGAATAGCCCATAAGTGGTGGCCCTTTTGAGTCATTACCAGTATCAAGAGCTGATACTGGAGATCTGTGGAGGTGCGACTGCACCCTGCGTGATGGGAGATGTCTCCCGTGGTTAATTACTCTCTTCTCGATTGCTTATATAATCGGACACCTCACCGTTCTCCAAAGGTTGGAATGAATGTTAACTGTAAGTAGGGAAAACGTTTGAGTTCCATCATTAGTGCTAATGAGAGCTTTGCTTCTATCATTAAGCTAATGAGTTTGGAGCAAGTATATTATTGGGATAATCTACTCGGTACATCCTATAAGAATATGTAAATTGAATTAATCCGTTCCACACTCAAAAAAAATATTAACTACAAAATACACTTCATACATAATACCTGTATTACAAATATTTTGTACTACAGTATGTACAATTTATATCTTACCTTTATTGATGACTTGTTGGCATATGGAAGATGGTGGGGAGGGGAGGGGGGAAGAGGAGAGGTGTTTGTGTTTGGAAGGAGAGTCCCCTTTCATTATAACATCAGGCACTGATGATAGTTCTGGGATACTCTTCCCCCTACGCTTTGCAGGCATACCACTAGGACCTGGTTGTGGCTCACTGCTTCTTTGTCTTACTAAAAACCTTTCCATAGAGACTTGTTTTCCCTACATTTTAACACTTGTCTGTAGCGAGACATCACATTGTCATTGAAAAGTTCAATGCAACAGCCTGCTACAGCCTTATCTGGGTGAGTCTTTTCAGCAAAACTTTGCAGTTCTTCCCATACTTCACACATTTTCTTAATGAGGAAAGGACATCCTCCACTGCCTCTACTTGCAACTATTTTCTTAGGTTAAACCTTACCACTGCCTTTCTTGGGACCCATGGCATGATATATAATAATTACTTTTATGTTCAAAAACCAAAAATGCAGAAAACCATGAAATTCTTTACAAAGAATTCAAGCATGATTGTCACTAGGCGGGAGGCACTGGTAAACTGAAGTGTACCTCGCCTGTGCCACCAGGAACCACGCACTCTGTCGACCCATACGTGTATCAACAAACTTGTTAACAGGGGAGGTAAAGATCGTCAACAGTCAAATTTTACAAAGAAATTGAAATCGTAACCCGAAAAATTTGTGAAAGAGGGACAGCCGACAACCGAGGTTCCATTGTATTAGTTTGATAGCATTAAATTAGTAATGTCTATCACTGCTGTATACTTAGTAATGACAGATGTGTATCATAAAGCACATACCATTTTCTCATCTATACTCTAGAAGAGGTGTTTAAGAAATGTGTCTGTCATGTTTGGCAGTTTTGTTTGCCATGTCTCATCAACCCTGTAGGGATCCTTATTTATCCAGTCTATTTTTATGTAGTTAAGTCTCCCTAGAATTAGGAATTTAGCTCTTGTTTCCTTTGCTACTGTGGTTGCTTTTTTAATTAACTACAGACAATTCTCATCTGCATTTGTATACATAACTTTTTATACTACTCATGACAATTGGGCTGCTTTTGTTTCCCCCAGAGGGATATTTGTTCATGTGGCTGCATTTCCATGTTAGATAGGGGAAGGTGGGTATGGTGAACTATACCTGTTAGCAGGCTGAGAGCTTTTCCTTCCCATAGGTCATAGTAAGCCTTATCAAATAGTTTCCCTGGAATACGACCCGCCAATTGTTTAACAACCAGGTACCCAATTACTGCTGGGTGAATAGAGGCATAATCCTCTGCAGCCAGAATACAAACCTAGGCCAAATCGCTAGCAAAGTGTGGGGCAAGTCTGTATAATTGTACTGTTTCTCAAATTTCTATCTGCTGAGCCAGATTGAATATTATTGTTCATCATTTTAATACTTGGTCTGCAAATTTTTGTAATAAAACAACTGAATTGGCATATCAAATTTATTTTCTGTATAAAAATGCTTGACAATACAAACCATTAATTTATAGCAACTCATTATTTAACTTTAAAATATTATGTGTAATACATTTTAAAACAGTCCAAAAGGTAAATAAAATCTCTTGGTGCAATATGACTTACAAGAATGACTAGAAAAAGGGGCCATGTAGTGCTACGTAGCCTCTGATTCCTTGTTTGTACCTCAATAAGAGGAGACCTGCACAATGTCCTTACAAAGCTGTATAAAGACCACAAGCTTTACATTAACTTATTAAGGAGCAGGATGACATGATTCAGTCATAAAATATCTTAACCTAAAATAAGATAGTGGGCTTCTATTAATTAGCACAATGAATGAGCACTATGTACATAAATACTGCATGAGAAAAGAAAGTGCACAAAACCATATCAAATGTGCTAAGTAACAAGATCTGGTAACTGCTGTCAGCGCATGCTTTATTTTGCCTATTAACAGGTCTGTCATTTGCAGATGTCATATCTCTGACAAAAAGTCATTTACAATAAGCATCAGTCTTTTTTCATATTTCATCATAATTTAACTTTGCAGCAAAATTAAATTACTAAGATTCTTCAGTAATTATATCACTCGTTCATAAATGCTGCTAGACACGTGTGCTAACAGAAATGGGGGGATTGGACAGTTTGTATAATTGTACTGCTTCTTTTAACATATCAAATATTTTGATATTATATGTGTATTGCTCATAAATGATAACTAAAGAATGTTATCAAAGTGCAAACAGTGTTTGATGATTATTACTGGCTACCAGTAACTACAACCATAAATGTCGGAAAATGCAGACTGAGCCAAGAACTAAATTATTACTAAAATATATACTATATATTTTATCTACAAAATAGTATATAAATAACAGATTTTCAATAGGCAGCTTTACATATTAACATATTATTTGGAACACGTCTATAGATAATATTTTCATAAAATCTATAGAGATAAAAGTGAAGATAGATTATAGTAACTACAATGGATTAAAATAAAATATTATACAAAATTAATTATTAATGACACAATTAGTATACATGCTATTATGTGAGGAGAAAAAGAGACAGGTTTTTAAAAACTAGCTAGCTTTTGGGTTTAAGATGTTTGTGGGTTCATAAAATTAGAGAAATTGACAAATATGGAATTCAGAATGGTTGATACCTAATCAGAACATCAGGACAAACAAAGAGCCAACAACTAACAGAAGAGCATGCTAAAGGAGGAGCGAGAGCAGCCACTGGGGCGTTGCCCCGCGTCATCACCAACACCTTGCTTGCAGCCTTTTCTAAAAGCCAGAAAGTCACAATAGATATACTTAGGTTTAACAAAAATTAAGGAACAGAGGCACAGCTGTAGGAATATTAAGAGATGTCTTATGATAAATACAGGTTAAAATTTGATCCATGGAGCTATCCACTTTATATATATATTCTATATACATACTGAATACAGGGAAGCGGACGAAAACAATACAGCAAATGGTCAATGATTTTACCATTAGGGAAGCCAGGTGATGAGGACTGGACCAGGAGGACATGTGTAAAAGAACCATTAATCAAATAGAAGTTTGTTCTACCAATATGTCTGAAACAATATGTTCTACAAGCATGCCTGACAACACAAAAATTTAATAAAAATATATGGCATTTAATTAAGTGAGTCACTCTTTTAAAATGTGACAAAATATACATTTTACCATCCAGCCTACAATACAGTTCTTTTAGTAGTCATCGTGGGCTACAGACCCTCTGCTAATTGGTAAATCTATTGCACTATTGATTACTTTGGGTATAAATTATTATTGAAGAATCCAAGAATAAATGCACACAACAGTTTGTGTAAATTTCATAACTGAAAAGGTATACGAGCTGTTGTATGTCACATGACCAGAAGTTTGCAACTCTGTTTTAGTGAAGAGTAATTTATGTAGGAAGAACAGAAACTTAGTGATGCATCGTGACAATGCTTAGAGGTGTGACCTAATACATCAAGACATCGGGAGGATGCAGCAAGATGTAATTTGTCTGAAATGATATGATACAAGTAGAATTTGACCTGTCTTATTACCAGAAATATAAGCAAGTTGTGACTGTCATACCATAATGATAATGAAAATAAGTAGGTTGTGATTCATCAATGGGATATATGATTCTTATGAATCATCATAAGTTAATATTTATGACTACAATTGTCACCTTGAGGTGTGGAGTCAAGGTCTGACTCCTATTGTGACTCCAAAAATAAAGTGAACAGGGTCTAGCTCACCCTATTGCCGTAACAATACAGGTCAGTTGGGTGCGACTTTCACCCACCAACAGCAGGAATATATCTTTGGACTAATCATTATACATGCAGCCATATGGCTACGTCTTTGGCTTGCAAAGGTTTATATCTGGAGTACATGTGAGCTATGCTACACAAACAAACTCTTAGGGTTGGAGAGAGTTTTGTAATGTGTATGTGACTGAGAACACAAATTGGCATATTTTCAAAACTGAAACAAAAAAAATAAATCCAGCTATAATGCAATATTATATATTAACTATACAAATATATACACAATGACTACCCACCATACATTAATGTTTGATTCCTAATGGCAGTATGTCAGTATTATATGTTACACACTCATAAAGTGTACATACAGCGAGAAGCATGGCCAAGGGTCTCTGCCACACATCTGCCAGAGCCAATACATACACGTGTGCCTATTCAATTTTCGTATTAAAGAAAATTACATATATATTACATAGCTACTAAATTTCAAAGGGACTAGCCATTATGGCCTTCACAAGGAGCACCATCTTGATGCTTAAATCTGCTCTACAGAAAACATCACACACTGGACAGGGTTATATTAGTATTTTCTTTACAAATAATTATCATTTTCTATTGGCATAGAGAAAACTTTCATCACAATGCCAAAAATGGAGTGTTAGAGACATTTTGGTCGCTAAGTTACCGAGTATGCTACACCGTGCTACTCAGACAGAAGCTTAATATTAAATATATTTTATATGACCCAAACTATCACTCCTGGGAAATCTATTCCTACTTCTCAAAAATATAAAATTTCTTTGAGTTTCACATATTCCTGAAGTGAATAAAGCTAATCTTTAAATCTTTTTTTTAGTACATACTGTGGCGAGAGAAGTGCTTACGACTTCTTTTTACCCCCTCGTGGCTTGATTTTCTCAGATATGTACCAGAGTGCTTCTTCATTTTGATAGGACTCAAAGTTGTTGAAGAATGCAATTATTTTTTCATTCTTTTTGAAGGGGTATTGACTGCAAACAATAACATATATATATATTAGGAATGTTGTACAGAGCAGTATATAACAAATATAACAAGAAATATGATTCATAGAAAGAAGCTATGTGTATAACAACAATTAAAAATATAATTCAGTACATACCATTTTTTAAATCTCTTCATATTATCTAAGATATTAAATTGTTGCCATCGTTTGGAAAAATTTACATTTCCATCAGGCATGAGCTCATTGTTTCCGATGTTGACAAACGTTAGGTCTTGGAGAATCAATCCACTGCAAAATAAGAAATATATGAAACTACAAGAAAATACAGTAACAGCACTAATTGAGCCTGCAAAGCTTAATACATTCTAGCTACTTCAAATTGTGAGGAATATGAAGACAAAATCCTAATTAGCAGCCCTATAACAAAAAATGGCAATGATGTACTTGTATGCATACAGAGTAATATAACCTGTGTATATTTTCATAAATATTTATAATTATTAATATTGTTATATGAAAGAACACAATGCCACCATGATCAAAACTTTTGATATAGAAATTGATTCTTTCCTCCCCTTCCCTCTTTTTTTTTTTGTCTCTTCCCACCATTCCTTCCCCCTCTCCCATGCCCCTATCTCTGTCTCTCACCATAATCCATTTCAAGACCCAGCAAACACACAGAGATACTCTCTAAACACATAAAATAATGAATGGTATCAAGATGATGTTTACTCTGTCTTGCCTTTCGACTGGCCCTCGCTTCAGATGTGAGAAAAATCTAATTACTGTATGAGAAACAAACAAGTCAGAGGTAAATAAAAATTATATATATTTTGAATGTAGGCAAACAAGCAAAGTATAAAGGGTCTTCAAATATCAGGACATGAATACAGCCATGTGGTGTAATGATTACAGGGTGTAATCATTGCCCCACTCCATTAATATTTCAATCTGTCCCTCAAATTGTATATCATATTTTGATGTATAAATTTCCCAAGGCAAAAAACAGATGTACTAAAAATCCAGTCTTTTCTTGTCATGAAAGACTGGCAAGGAAATTACAGACCCATGGAATAAATGGTAAAAATATTAGAATGGATAAAACAATGGTTGAAGGAAAGAAAACAAAGCATCATGCTAAATGGAAACGAATTGGAATGGGAAAATGTAATAAGTGGAGTGCCACAAGGGTCCATTTTGGGACCTACCCTTTTTGTCATATACTGTACATCAATGACATAGATGAGAGTATTGCAATCCACATCATCAAATTTGCAGACGAGACAAAGATTTATGGTAAAGTGGCAAATGATAACGATATTGAAGCCTCACAAAGAGATCTACATTAATTCCACAAATGGTCAGAAGACTGGCAAATGCCTTTTAATATCAACAAATGCAAGACCATGCATGTGGGGCATAACAACCAATGCCATAACTATCAAATTAATAGCATTACATTACAGCAGAGTGATGAAGAAAGGAAGCGTGGAGTCAAGATCCACCACTCATTAAAAGTTGCACAACAGGTGGGTGGAGCAGTCAGAAAAGCTAACCAGACTCTTGGGATAATCATGCATACTTTTGCCTATAAGGAAAATAAGGTAATGGCTCAACTGTATAAATCTCTGCTGTTCCTCCACTTAGCTCACTGTATCCAAGCATGGAAACCTCATTTTCAGAAGGACATAGCTGCTCTGGAGAAGGTGCAACACCAGGCAACAAAGGTCATTCCAGAGTGGTGTCATCTCTCTTATCAGGAACACTTGAAGACTACAGGGCTAAGGACATTGCAAACCAGGCATGACAAGGTGGATCTCATTGAAACTTTTAAAATACTGAAAAAGTTAGAGGATTTTATCCAGATATTTTCTTCAAAAGGTCAGATGGAACACAAACTAGGAGCAGCGGTTTCAAGCTCAGCAAGCCACAATGTAGGACTGAGAAAAGGAGATGCTTTTCACCCACAGGTTTATTAACACATATAACTGCCTACCCTCCAAAGCTGTAACTGCCAAAACTGTGCTGATTTTCAAAATATACTTGGAAAAGATCAAGGCAAATGGGGGCACCTTTGACAAGCCACTGGCTTCCTGTGGCTTCTTTAGTGGCCCTCAGGTAAATCAGGTAAAATGGAACCCCTGATCACTATGGGACCACCAAAAAGAGGCATTTCATTACATTTAGCAACAGTTTTTGTGAGGGGTTCCCTTGGTAGCTTCCCAGTTTCCTTCCTTGTTCTCCATGAAATGCTTACCATGAGGAGAGGAACGAGATGCATATACCACACATAAGGACACAGTATTTGGTCAGTGTTCCTATAAAGCACTAAATTGTAAGCACCTCATACTTCCAAAACCACTAACCCAATGTTAGTCTGCCTTTATGGCACTGTCATTGACTAATTCATAAACTAGTTGACATCATGAACCCAAGAAGCACATGTCCAGCTGGTCTAACTGAACAACACACAAGCCACTGGAAAAAACCAAACCCTGGAACAAGGGACCAAGAATTCCAGGTAACAAACAGCAAGCCTATCTGAACCCCTCGAGTGATATAAAAGAAGCAACACAAAGTCATGACAAGACAGTGTGTGAAGAACCCCTGGTCTAAGAAACCAAGCAACAATCACCAAAGGCCCCTTCAAAAAGCAGAAGGCTCAATCATTGCCAGAATAATTCATTGTGTCAGGGGACAGGAAGCCAGAGTACTGGTATATTCATACATGTTTTGGTTTTAATCAAGGTAACCCCCCCCCAAGGCCGAATTACTGATCCTGATCAGGATGCAACACTACAACAAGCTGACTAACTTCTGAGTACCTACTCACTGCTAGGTGAAAAGTGGCATTAGGTGAAAGGAAATGTGCCCAAATATTTTTATCCCGCCTGATATTCGAACCCGGAATTCTCGATTGTGCGTCGAGAATGAACCCAACTGTACTACCGGGATCCTAGATACATAAATAGGAGGTTGAAGCTGAAGAATCCGAGAACACAAACCAAAAGTACAGTAATTGTTGAAAGAAGGCACCATGCTGGGATGATTATGTAGATATTGTAGGCAAACTATGTAACTAGCTCATCAGTGCTTAAACTTCTTTAGCTAAATAAATTTGGGGGTTCAGTTCCTGAAGTGACGGGATGGACCTACCAGAAAGTGAAGCAAAAATGGAGCAAAATTAGACCAGAGTAATGAATGATGTTTCCATAATTGGGCACCAATACTGGTTAATAATAATTAAGCTCCTAAACAATTGATATACTATACTGTAAATAATTGTCAGGTTCTACAAAAATTTAGCATTAATCACAACTGTTTAAAATGTTATGTTACTAACACCATTCAATATGACTTACATGTAAGGAATGCAAGGTGGAGTAGAGTCAGAGAGTGCTTGTCTGTATGCCCTAAATGAAGACGAAGAGTCAATGAGAGCACAGTATTCCTTTAGACCGTCAGTGATGGTTCGTTGCCATTCAAGCCTTCTTATAGGAGCAGAGTCGAGGGCTGAGAGAAGAGCTAAGTAGGAGTTGAAGTTATTAATCTTTCGTAGGTGCTTCATGATTTTGATGTACTTCATGACATATTTTTCCCGATCCTTGGAATCTTCCTGCTCTAGGATTCGAGAACGAGCCCAATATGACATCTTGTTAAAATGTTCAGTAAATGTAGTCAGGTTGGGTGACCGTTCTTCATTCTGTTCACTTGCCCAAAGGAGAACTTCTGGAATCTCCATAGTAAGGAAAAGTTCTGCATCCAAAAGAGTCATCTGTTCAGCAATCTCGTGTGATTTGAAATCCAGAAGAGTTGCTGGTCTTGTTGTAACTCCCAGGGATGCAATGTTAAAGTTTTCTTTCGGGGCACTGTATCTCTTTTTGGCCTCTAGTTTTTCTACTATTTTTCTTCTGAGTGCTCGTGCCAGAAGCAACTCCCCTCGACAGAGAAGAGTGTATTCAAAACTTGTTAGCGTTTCCAAAATATCAGTATTCAAGTCTGTGATAGCAAGATCATCCACCACTCGTACCAATAGGGAGAAAGCATTCCGTGCTGCCTTTTGTCTCTCCACATCAGGACTGCTTACAAACTTGTTGTATCGTTTAAGTAACTTGTTAACAAGTTCATTTGGTGAGATGAAGGTCCGATACGTTGTCAGGAATGCCTCCTGGTATAAGAAATCTGAAACACAAAAGAAAATGTAGTTATAATATATTTTTAAGTTAAAATTTAGCTTAATATCTATTGATATGTTATAAAAGACCAAGATGCATGCTGTCTTCTTTCTAGTTGAATTTTTACGTTTTACTTTGTGTTCTTGAAGCACAGGATTGTTTGTGCAAGTTTACTTTGTTTATACCAAATGTAAATAAGAAAAATAGTTATGACGTCTTCAAGGAAGTGTACACCACTTGGTAATAATATTGCCGAGGACACACCACTAGATTAAATTTTGTATTGAAAGCATTTTACATAAATGTTAATAGCTTTCATTAAAAGAGTTAACTAATACTTTTCATCTTAGAAGTCCTTAACCACATGATCTTCATAGTTAGTCCTTGTACAAAATGTAATATGCATTTAAATATGCTTAATTAAATGCCATCTCTAAAAATTACATGTTTACTTCAAACAGTAGCACTTGAGATACAGAAAAACTTAAGAATAGACTATCATTTTACCAGTAATGGCTTTCAAAAAATTTAGCATTGTGCACTTTGTTCAAGCATTTCAGATGATAAATCTAGCCTGATGTATGAAATAACTCCTGTAAGTCCAAGGTGGCTACCAGCTCATAAATCCTTCCTGAGCACAATCAACAGGAGTGAAAATCATTAACCAACAGCTGAAATAATTATACAGTATGAGTATTACCTGAATATGATACAACTGAAAATCCATTACATCAGTCCAAGAATTAAAATCTTACCTTTAAAACACTTTACTTTTTATGAATGTCAATTTTTCATTCATACAAATTAATTCATACATACATTAATTCTACAGTAACAATGTTTCCAACTTTTAAGCGGTGAAACCTTGGCAATAAAATCAGTAGGAATAGTACATAAGTGGAAAGATAACATTTCAAAAGAGCATTGCAGGCTACACAAAGAAAGTGGTTCTGAGTTAATGTATATAAAAAATACACTTCTCATTAACCATTCTTTCCAGATGTGGTATTCTCATATAACCAGCATTGAATGTAATGAAATGCCATTTTCTGGGTGAGACCCGGAGGCTCCCCGGAGCTTACTAGGCTGATATTCAGACTTTGGCATCAGTCATGTGTATGGAGTTCTGTGGGCCTACCGGGGACCACGAGCCAGAACCTGGCCCCCTCAGAGAGGCATGGGGAGCAATGGCTTATAGAAACCCCCGTGTGGTTGGAAGCATTCTGTCTGCCATCGACCGGGTGCCTCCCAGAAAGGTAAGCATCCCAAAACAAACCCCTATTCTGGTGAAAATATTGCTACCAAAAGCTGAACAAATGGATAGAACTTCCCTAAAAGAAACGAGCAAACGAGCATGACGTCACACCTCGCCACGCCACTGTCTGTGCAGCTCTCCATTCTCCGGGAGGGGGAAGGGGGAGCCCCAGACCCCTCATGCTGGCTATCCACCCTTCAGTTCTGAGGCTGGATGTCAAAACACACGAAAAAAACGCCGACCGCAGGGAGGGAGGGATGCCGGGGAGCCTCCGGGTCTCACCCAGAAAATGGTGTTTCATTACATTTAACGCTGGTTTTCTGTGGGGAGCCCCTGTGGCTCCCCGGAGCTAACTACCCACAGAGGAAAGTAGAGAGACGTACCCTGGAGGTGATCGCTGCTCGCTCCTCAACTGTAAGTTGAGACTACTGGCTGCAACCACCAACCCAAAGCGACACAGGCCCGACTAGGTCCAGGAACGTTCATGAGATAACGAGCAGCTAGGACCCTGGTCGACCACCAAAATCTCTGCGCCCGAATGTCAGCCCAGAACATGTTGGCAAGAGCAGCGAACTTGCGAACGTCATGGCCATGGGGATAGACTGTAGGCTGGCTAGCCTTAATAATCCCGTGGACAACCAGGGAGACCCGCACCCACAAACAGGGAACAAGGAAAACCGGATCAACCCAAAGCGCGTCCCCGGACATAGAAGCCGTGGCGCGCAAAGAACGGCGGAGGGCTGCAAATGGACACAAAACATGATGCACCCCCGGCCCGACCACCCAAGCATCACCAACCAAAAGACCCCTCCGGAAAGCAGCAGTCTCATTCTTCACCAGAAAAGAAGGAGACAGCTGCAGACGAACAAACCTATTGCTACGACCGAAGGAGCAAAAAATACCCTGCGCCGGAGAAGAGCATGAAGCTCTCCAACCCGACCCCAGAGGTCAACGCCAACAGAAAAAGAGACTCCGAGAAACAAACCTGAATCGAAGGGGCCACAACAAACCGAGAAGATGGAAGAGAGAGCACCTTGCTCAACTACCAGGACGGCTCAGACGGCGCATGAGCCGGCTGGAGGAGAAGCAATACACGAAACAGCTTACGAAACCGCACAGACTTAACATCAATATCGAAAGCAAGCTGAAGCTGCTCCGCCAGCGCCGCACGACATGAGGCGACACTATAGGGCAAGATGACACCCTGAACCCCCACAAGAGAAGGACAAGACCACGCCAACAAATGCAGCTACCAAAGAAGGGACAGAAGGAAAAGAAGGACCATAAAAAAAACCCACACTGCCACCAAGAAGAAGCACGCATGTGGTACACCATCAACGAAGCCACCCAATCACTAACAGAAGGTGAGAGACTTGAGGCAGACCCGAACCAGCCCCGCCATGGGCCAATCGAGCCTAGGAAGAGGCAGAGCTGCAGGAAGATCTCAGGTGCGACTACGGAGCCAGCAGAGCTGGAAACCCAAGCAGGCAAAGGAGGAGATGGAACGTCTGCCGTACAGAAAAACATCCCGACGCCAACGAGCCCGCCAGGAGAACGGAGACGCCGGGTCCAACGCAAGACTCTAGAGAAGGGACACCGCGAGACCGTGAAAATGCCAAAAGGCAGGGTAAGCCAAGAAAACATAAACCCAAATGAGGCAATAGGAGAGCCAAAAGGCACAAAGAAAACACACAACAATGTGAAGGACAAAAAGAGAAAACGGAAAACACACGAAAAGACCAGAAGAACAGCCCCTGCACCAACGGCCAGGGACAAGAGCGTAGAAGGAAAGGAGCAAACGGGAATAAAAGGGACACAACCAACAACACACAGAGCTGCTGGTCATGTCCCAACAAACCATGCCAACAACACACAGAGTTGGTCGACACGTCCTAAGAAAAGACTAAATGGAAAAAGGGTGCAAAGGTATGCCACCAGACCAGTACCCGAACCAAGGAGTACGAGCTATGAGGATATGATCACCACATATCACCTCATGTCCTCAATAGACGTGAGAGGGCAGAGAAGACACTACGGGACCCCAGGGGCACACGCACCAGGGGACACCGGTGGAATGAGGCCCAAAAGAGCCACAGATACATTGGAAAGAAGTATTGTAGTGCAGAGTAGGAGACAAACGGAACGTATGAAGAAGCGGTGTGGTGGAGGATGACACCACACACAGCTGCAAGTGTAGATATGATAGAGCCCAGCAGGCTCAGGAACCTGCACATCAGCGATTGACAGGTGAGAAGCAGGACCAAAAAGTCAGAGCTCAACTCCCACAAACACCACTAGTGAAGTACAACTAGGTAAGTACAGAGAATCCAACGTATATGGAAAGGCTAGGCCAAGCACTGCAAGACGGGCAAGGAATGAGTGATCCCGATAGGACCACGAAACACAGGGCCGTGATCCCCCCTTGCAACAATAACCCAGATGAACAATTAAGGCCCCAGGAAGAAGCACGAAAGGGTCAAACAAAATGTCACAACCAGTCCCCAACACTCATCCACAGTAAGAAAACTGCAGCAAAACGTCACCTCATAACATCCCGACACAGAAACATGTACCCCATAAACAAATCCACAAGGGCCGTGACAAAGATTTGAATCTATGTCTGTGAGCATTCCAGGTACTGCCTTAATCGACTGAACTACGACATGGTAAAAGAGCGCGTCTGGAATGCTCACAGACGTAGGTTCGAATCCTCGTCAATGCCCTTGTAGATTTGTTCATTGATGCATCACGTTACTGTGATTTCTGTGTGTAATGAAGGAAGGGCGAAGAGGTAGAATGGCCTATTGACATAGCTTAAGTGCATGGGGGAGTTGTGTAACACCTTGGTTTGTGTCTCGGAGAGGCTGCAGGATCCAGTAAGTTCAGTAGAACTTCGGTTTCAATTCTTTTACCATGTCGTAGCTTAGTCGATTAAGGCAGCGTCTGGGATGCTCAAAGACGTAGGTTCGAATCACGACCCTTGTGGATTTGTTCATTGATGCATCACGTTATTATGATTTCTGTGTAATGTTCGCCATAACATACACCCCTACCACTGTATCTCGTAACCTGGTGGAGGTGGGGTCCCTTGCTGGACATGCATAAGAGTGGGACTGGATGAGTATAATAGGAGCTGCCTCATATGGCCTAATTGGCCTGCTGCAGTCACCTGTGTTCCGAAGTTTGTATATTCGAATAAAAAAACCACGAACAGTGCCTGGCCGAAAAAGACGACAGACCCCATAAACTCGCCTGCAGAATGTAGGCATGAACATGTCACGACACAATGTAGCCGAGAAGATGCCAGGAGCACCGCAAGTGGAAGACGACTAAGCCGCACATGCAGGAGAAGAGTAGGGTAGAGGCGAAGGAGATGCCCCACACCCATACGCAGGGAAAACCCTGCATCCTCCCTATAGCGGCAATCCAGAACACCCCCAGTAGCCATGGGGCACGGACTGGAAAAGTGAGAAAAGCGAGAGGCGAAGCCCCCAAGAGAAAAAGACGCAGAACACCAGCACATGTGCACACCGCCCATATCAAAACAAACTACCACTGCCCATGCGCAGCCGCAGGGATACCAGATTTGGTTCGCTAGAAGTCGCAAGTTGAAGAAATAAAATCACGAATGTGACCATAACCGGACAAAATATTGTTGTTAACGATCGATTCCCTTTTCAGAGTACACAGGCCAGCTATGAACAGCAGGCGAAAAGAGTAGTAAGTAGCGAAACATACATAGCACAGCTCTT